CTCGCGCAGACAACTCGATGGCCACACGACGCCTGCACCATGTGACTTGACGCGCCTGCGGTGTCTGCGCCGAATCATGCGCAGCACCTGCGCGGATGAAAAGACAGCGCCCGCGGTGGGCGTGATAAGACCGCCATGGCGGGGCGATGCCTGCACCCTATTAGTTGACGCTTCTGCGGCGCCTGCACCGAGTCACGCGCCCTGAGCTCAGGGCAACGGCGGGAGTGCAACGGAGCGGTGGTTGGACCGCGCGCCCTCCGCAAAACGTCGCTGGTGTTGCGCGGAACAGGCAGCAGCCACCTGGGCGCGGAGAGCATCGAAGCCCGCGCTCGCGAGGTCGACCTTGCGACGGTTCAACAGCGCGCTCACTTCACCTGCCAGGTCGCGGAGCCCGGACAGGGTGCCCCGCTTTCTGTATTTGGCCGACATTCGGTGCCGGAGGATGGAATCAAGACTGAGCCAAAATTGCCGCGGACGGCAACGCCGTGGACGCGAAGATGACGGCGACGGCGGCGACGGCGATGGCGCCAAGGCAAACCTCGCGGCCGCGACCACGATCATCAACGTTGCACCCCGTCGCACGCATCGATCGGCTTCCAGTAGGGTATCCCAACTTCGTCTGGATTATCTGCCACCGCGCTTGCAGCAGCTGGTGCGCGTCGGGCCCATTCGCCTCTTGCTAGACGATACTTACGGCCCCCGACACATCGAGCCCAAGATGCGTCCCTTTTCGTGGCCAAACCCATGCGTTTTTGAGCTTCCGGGCAGAGAGTGGCCCCACGTACACGTTCCGGAAGAGAGTGGTCCGACTCCCTCCCCCGCCCCAAAGAGCCCCCCTCCCCGCCCGCCCGAGCACGGTGGCAGGATCGCGCGGCAGCGCAGATAGATGAATCTGGAGAACACCTGTACTCAACTCTACTCTACGCTACTCTCCTCTGCTCTACTCTACTTGATGCTGCTCTACGCCACACTACTCGGCCCTACTCTGCAACTGCTCTACTCCAGTCCACCCTAAGGTACCATTATGCACTCTTCTCGCCTCTACACTGCACCCTACTGCACTCGACTACAATATACTCCAGTCGATGCTAACCGACTCGAATCGATCATCCATCCTACTCTACTTTAGCCTCCTCTGCTCTACTCTACCCTATTATATTGTACCCTACCCTATCCGATCCGATCCGATCCCATCCGAACCTACTTTTCTACTCTACTGCATCCTACCCCTACTCATATACTCTCCTCATAGCAGAGGATGCCATGCGGGACCTGCTACGGCTGAAAACAAGCCAGAACACCATAGTAAGTCAAATTTGGAAATGTAGCCAGAACACGACAGCTGCAATGGTGAGAACCAGATGCCCCTGCCATGATTTCTGAGCATGCGACTGCTGAAATCGAGCCAAAACAATAGTTTGTCTCAGTTCAAGATCTGCGAGGGCTGAAATCGAGCCAGAACACTCGCCCCCCCTCTTGAAATTCTGGTGAGAGGGATCTGTAACTGAAACCGAGCCAGAACACCATAATGAGTTGCATTTTCTGGCCAAGTAGAACCAGAACACCATGGTAATGTTCACTCCTGGATCTGGGAGGGCGGAAATCACGCTAGAACATCATATCAAGCCGAGTTTTGAACCAAATCGAGCAAAAACACAATAGCGCGTCTCATTGCTGGATCTGCGAGGGCTGAAATCGAGCCAGAACTCAGAACACCAAAGTGAATCGACGCCAGACCGCCGCCAGAATGGTTAGACGCTTGCCCCCAGCCCCCCCGTGAAGATTCTGGTGAGAGGATTCTTCAAATTGAAATCGAGCCAGAACACCATGATGAGTCTCATTGCTGGACAAAGTCGAGCCAGACCACCATAACCATGTTCACGTCTGGATCTGGGAGGGCTGAGATGTATCGAACCAGATCACCGTAGTGAGCCTCATTCCTGGACCAAAGCGAGCCAGAACACCAGAGCGAGCTTAGTTTCTGGATCTGCAAGGGCTGAGATCGAGCCAGGAGACCATAGCAAGCCTCATCCCCGGCAGCGCCTCAGGCAGAGTGAGACGCCTCCCCCTGGCCCCCCCTGCGGATTCTGGTGAAAAGAATATCTGGCCTCGTGTAGGACCCTCTCGCGAAACGCTACTAGGAACAACAAGAAGGAGTGAGAAAGGGAGTGGGGAGGAGGGGAATGGAGAAAGGATCATGGAGTGGAGCGAGAGGGCGACGAGGAACAGGAGGAGGAAGAGAGGGAGGAGGCAGAAGGAGCACGAGCAGGACAATGGTGAGCGGGAGAACAAACGGGAGCCACTGGGACGAGGAAGCGAGCACCCTTAGAGGAAGAAACAGTGCACAAACATCAACTTTCGACGGTCCGCGCGGATTTCTTGGATCTGCGCTGGAACCCCATCCCTGGCGAGCGGAGCGCGCCAGGGGCGGCGCCAGAGGCTCCGCCAAGGGGTCCAGCGCAGACCCAGGAAATCCGCGTGGACCGTCGAAAGGCTGTGC